TATATCTCCTTCTTTACGAATTGCAGAAGATAATGTGCGCCATACATACGTCTTCCCAGTTCCACCATAACCATACACAAAGAACAAACCTCCATTTCCTTTTGTAACTGCAGCCAGAATTTCTTTGTATACTTTTCTTTGTTCTTCAGTAAGATTAGAGTAAAGCATATCATATTCTTCCTTCAATAATGCTCTATCATAATCTAATTCATCATGGATCATGGCATTCATAGTTTCATCAATAAAAATGTCACCTGGATATAGCAAACTAGGGAATTCCTTAATGCTTTTTCCATGTGAACGTAAAATAATTTCAATTTCCTTCAATGCATGCATTTTTATTTCATCTTCAGATACTTCATAATCTGCATAATAATGAAACCATTTATAAAATTAGAAAATTATAACATACTATAACAGATTTATTACTGTAAAAATTTAAGATTTGAATAATGAAGAAAACACCTTCATTTCTATACATCCATTTCAATTTGGCAGGTATATCTTCCGTGTAACATTCCCAAATCAAGTTCCACACATTATAAGGGTCAGAAACAATGTCACCTTCTAATAATTGTGCAAAAAGATTTCTGCAGTAATTTGTTGATCCCCATGTAGAACCCTGCTTTATGCAGTCAATGTATTCTGTCATCATCAAGTAAACCCCTTGCAAAGCAAGCTTCTTTGAACGTTGAATGTTCTATACCTTCAAATGTCATGATATCTTCGTAACATGTTGGACCTTTGACTATGTTTAGTAACACCCTTAAACAATAAGGTTCACCTGAAGCTATAGGGACTCCATGGATTCTACCTATAGCTGAACCTCTTTGTCTTGGCATCCACACTTTTTCTTTTCTTTTCCAAACAAAGTATTTAGGGAATTCTAGATACATAAGCTCTCTAGCTTCAGGATAAATGTTGTTAGCTTCCATCCAAGAACTAAACATTGAATGTCTGTTAGAAGCTTTGTTGACAACAGTTTCAACAGTTTGATCTTCATCGTAGACAACACTTTGATGACCAGGCATATGGAAGCTGAGACATTCAACGTGATGCGACCTGTAATGTATTGAAAATTCAAACATACGCCACGCAGCCTCACAACTTGACAAATATCTGCCTTCATACCAATCTTTGACTTCATCTTTAGGACTTGTATCTAAAGTCTCCTTGACAACTTCACCGTTGATAGTGTATTTGAAAGATACTCTGTCTGAACTTTTATTAAGGTATTTGAACAGATATTTTATAGCTCCTGCTTGATTACACCATTCAACATTTATGTGTGCATGAAAAGTGACAGTTAAATATGGGTTGTAACCAACAACCCATCTGTTGTCGATGGTTGCACCATTTTTCTCAAACGTTCTACCATCTTCTCTTCTCCTGTAATCTGGAAAACCATCCTCTCCTATAGTGGTAGTATCTTTGAACTTTTTAGGAAACCTTTTTCAACAAGCCTCTTTAACCATGCAAGGACTATAAGGGAATTCATCACCACAGGGACCATGAATCATCATATCAGTTACAATATCGTATAGAACAGGATCACTATCTTTATTAGAGAGTTCGGCACATATGAATTTGTCAATATCTTCAGGTAGTGATAGCTTGTCATCCCGATGTAACCATACAACTATATGTGCATGTGGGAGACCTCTTTTCTGATACTCTACAGTATAGACAGCTGTGAATAAACATGTCATGTTAGCCAGACATGAAATTATACATAAATACTTATTGAAAATCTTTAGACATAATAAATTACAAAAAGTAAATTTAGATACCTGCTTCCTGTCTGCCAAAAATTCTTTTTGATTTGATATCTTTCATCAAACAATCAAGTTTCATCATGAAAACCCTGAAACAATATCTGGTCTATCTTCAGGTCTGAGACCTTTCTTTTTGCAGTACCTGATTACCTCTGGCATTTTATTATTGCATGTGAAAGTTAAGAAAACATCACGATATCCAAACGTCTTAACTAACGCCATAGCATCAATGTAATTTTCCCTTTTCTACCTGTCACCTCATGTGAATGAAGATGGTATCATAACCCTTCCAACCTCTGAGGCATCTGTATTTCCTTTTTTCATTGATTTCTTAATATTTTCATATGTTTCGCACCTTAAATTTCTTTGATTTTTCCTGATCCAACATATTCTACCTGATTCAACCGCATTGTATCCATCAACCAAAAACTATTGAAATAGCCTACGTGCATATAACAAAATTGAACCATCTTCGTCTCTATCCTTTAAACGGTAAGCAAACCACTCTCGAATGCTCATCCATTTACGTGGTCCTTTACTTCTTCATCTACAGTATCAACATTATCCACATCAACATCATTTTCATCATCATCTGAATCAACATCTGGATCTCCAAGACGTATATTGATTCTGAATCCATCTTCATCATATGGAAAGATCAAAGGATATTGAAGAGAAATATATGAAGGGTGTAATTCATTAATTCGCTGCAATGCTCCAGACTTATATTGAACAATGATATCTATTGTTTCTATTTCGTTGCCTTCAACCCCTGGTAATATAGCTGCTACCTCATCAACAGTTGGTAGATTATGTGTTCTTGCATATGTGTCTCTTGTTGAAATAAGCCTTAGTCTGATTTCAGCTGACGAATCTGTCTGTAACATGTCACGGACCTTCCTGTATGTTTTAACCAACACATTGTGTTTGTCCATTGCCTCTTTGATGTCATTAATAATCTGTGCATCAAGAACATGGGTTTTGTTTGGAGTTTTACCTAACTGCAATTAAATTGCAGTAATGCATTATCAAAACCATAGTCAAGTTAATATTACTGACAAACGCATAATTCACATAACATTCCCTGTAACTATATTGATGATAAATTAATATGCAAATATACCTTAAAACTCCAATCCGGTTGTTGATTTCATTCTGAGTATCATAAATATATAACTGAGAAAATTTTGGCCTCGAATCATCCTCTGGAAGTAAACTACCCATCAAATGGCTATTATGTCCTTGCATCTTGAATACATATGGTGCACGCCTGTCATTGATTGAATATACAATGTTGCCACCCATTCATGTAAATGCAAACATATTGTTATATGCTCGGATGTTTTCCAGAAAATGTTTACTCTTTGCATCATTAGACATGAACAATTCTTTAAATTGAGCAGGTGGTTCTTGAAGTAAAGGTAGATGTATTTGCCCTTTTCTGCAACATATGGAGAACTTTGGTTGTGTTTCTCTTCTTTGTTTGTTTGTTCTTTCTGCATACCACATATTAGCAGCACAGAATTCACATACATATGTTGGATCTCCCAGATCATTGTACTCTACAATTTAGTATAAAAATTATAATACAATTAATAATCTTTCATAGTAATAAACATGAATAACTTAACATTTCATATACATTAAATGTGTTCATGTACGATAACTTATTCCCTTTAATTTTGGATTTCCAAGGTCGCAATATATTTTTACTTTTATTCAAAGAGCTCTGTTGAGTAGAATGTGGGATACTAACCAATGGAGGCTCAGATGCATTTGTGATGCCTGGATCTTATTTTTTCAAATTGGAATTCAACAAGTGAGGTATGATCATAAATATGCTTTAATCAGTATGTATATAAAAGTATGTTATATACCTGAGAACCAATATGATCTGATTGTTGCAAACTCGTGTTTATAAATCCTTGGCTTTTATCATATATAGCAACACCACCTTTAATAATAGGAGTCATTTTTGGGACAGATTTTTCCTTTTTCTGGTCCAAAAATTGCTTCCTATTGACTCTTGAATTGTTAACATTCCCTTCAAAGAAAATAACAGATTAAAAGAAGCCAAAAAAACAAAATACAAATTCTTTCACCAAAAATTTAAAAAACATACAAAAACTAAATATTGAATCGAACAAAACAAACACATATATACATGTATATATATGTCATGTATAATACCACAGAAAACTTCATCGTTTGATAACAATATATCTGGAGGAACTGCCGTAGATGATCTTTGAGACTTATTTTAAGTTTCCTTTGTTGCAATATTTGTCTCCTTCGAATCCTTGCACATTTAGCACTCAGAGCTTGAGTGGTTTGTACTGAAGGCGAATCCAATAAAGTAATTCCTTGAAACTTCAAACTCTGAATCGGTCTGATATGCGACAAAATTCATTTCCTTTCCATCCTTGCAACGTAACACTGAAATTTAGAAACATGAGTACCAACTATTTCTGGTTTGTTTGTTTTGATTTCACGTTTCTGATGGATAATTGATAATCTTTTACTACCTAGTATTTGCTTTCTGAAAACTCTGGCTTCTTTTGCTCTAGTGTTCACCATTTTCCTGATGTCTGCAAAAATGTATAATCTTATGAATGAATTCAGAATTAAAATGAGATCTTTATGTTGACCATCTGCGAAAGCTTATATTCCATTTTATCATATTGGTTGTTACGTGTGAAAACATTGATGCAAATAATTATGGTATTTATCATAAAATATATTGCAATTAATATCTATTTATTTGTGCTTTATACATTAAAATAATATATATATGTATATGTTTAAATATTAAATAAATATATACAGTAAACAAATTTTGATTTTTTACTGTTAGAATATATGACTTTCAAAATATAAAATATTTTAGCTTTGTTGTTGTTCTACAACTTATTTTGCTTCTTCTTTTTCGTCATCATCTAGAAGTCATTCCCCACTTCACTATCTTTCATCTTCATTTCTCCATTTCAATATACATGCACAGATGAATGTCATTTTAATGTATTTCTATAATTAGTAACAACTTTTTTTTACTTTTAAAATTAATTTACATGCCAGACAATTCTAATATTGGTTGCTAATCAATAAAATTTCTATAATTTGATTTAAAAATTGGTCATGAAAATACAAATATAGATAATTTTAACTGGAATTAGAAATAATGAGTATATTATTAATTATTCCAAATGGCATAAACATCAAAAACAATTACAGGACTTCCAAAATCAAATGTTCTTTATTAACTACCTTCCGAGCATCTATACGAAATCCAAGCTTGATACCAGTAGGGATCTTTTTTAAACCCATCATGTACTCAATGTCTCCTTCGATAATGAAGCGATTAGGGTAATCAGATAAATAGATTCGGCCCATTCTGACCACAAGTTCTCCATCGTAGTATATGATCAAACTACTGTAGTCTTGAATCTCAAGTCTTCTGACAATATGCCATGGTATTTCCTTTAATAAAAAATATATAAATTAAATGTAGATAATAATAACATAAAGTGAATATTTTTAATTGAGTTTTTTTTAAATACATTTGACAGAGTAACGATTAGCTCACCAGTTTACCACATTGAATGACATCAGTGTTCATGACTACGTTGAAAGTATTCTGATCACCATTAAATTGTATGTAGTCGATTGTGTCAACTTCACCTATAACAATAAATTACAAAATTTAAATAATTTATAACTAAATAAATTAAATTGAATGAACTTCTTAAGCAGGTGAAATGAAAATTGACTTAACCTTTAGATGAATCTAAAGCAGATATATCTTGGTCGCAGCAGTAACCTTCACTGTTGAAAACCCTTAACTTAAAGTATAATTGCCCTGTGTAAATGAATATTACATTTGCACCTCGTAAGTGATTAAAGTAAAGGTCGTGAAATTCTTCCCACATTTTGCCTTCAAAACCAACATGTCACCCTTTTGTGTATATATCTCAAATTTCCGCTGCTTGTGTTTATCATCAAGCATCAGTGAAACAGCTTGATTCGAAAGCCAACCTATGGCCCTAAAGTACTGTGGGTTAATACCCTACAATTGCAAACCAAATACATGAAATACATTAAATTTAATTACTAAATAGATTGTTAAAATTAATATAGAAATTAGAAGCTAAAGTTATATTAATCAAAACTTACACATCGAAGAGCATTGTTAGGATTTAACTCCAAAAGGTACCGAAGTCCAATATTTGCATCTAGATCTGCTGAAAATCGTTGGCATACATCGTAATTAAAATTGAATAAATGCAGCATGTTAGAAGATTAGTGATAAACAACATGAATCTTAGATTGAGGAGAAACACCAATGGATGAAAAGAAATCTTCAAGTGTAGATCCATATAATTGGCATCTTTTTTTTTTTTTTTGTTAATATGCATGTTTGCAAAAACACTTCAAATTCCTTGCAATTCAATCAAGATTTGCTGGCCAACACGTCTTAAATTTGCAGTGAAGTCGCCGCTAAGTATCTGATGAAAATAACTAAGAATTACAAATAAACAAAGTAATTAAAATCATATCACAAATAGTCATGTATTATATACTTACCAATCCTTTTGTTCAAATGTTTGTTGGGACTGAAACCAATTGATCATAACCATATTCCATCTTGTCTCCGTTTTTTCAACCTGTTACCCCTATCAATTCTGTAAACTCCTCGTGCTTTTATGGAGGTTTAAAGACTTCATTTGTGTTATACGTGAATATATGTGTTTAGTCTATATTTATATACCGATTTAGGGTAATCCCTTAGAATTAGCTGGTTTTAAAAAAACAATTTATTTATTACCAACCAATCAACTACCAATTACTTGATAATTTTACCAATCTTTTAGGGATAACAACTTACAGTTATCTGTACATACTATCCACGTTCATTTAAAAGTCTTTAAATTTTGATTAAATTTATACTTTTTAAATTCCAATCTTAAAACTGTAAAATTACCAATCTTTTAGGGATAACACCTTACAGTTATCTGTACATTATATCCATGTTCATGTAAAAGTCTTTCAAGTTTGATTAAATGACAACTTTGAAAATTCCATTCTGAAAATATTTTAATGGAGACTTTACAGGAATTGGAGATTCATTTCACTTATACAATCTGAAAGATTCAGATCAATTTTTGTGTATCTTTAACATTTTATACCAATATTATAAATGCATGAGCATTTATTTGTAAGTAAATCATCTAATAGTAATTTGACATAATTGATTATGTTTACACCTGAACATCAGTTGTTTACAGAGACAATTAGTTTTCAATTTGATAACTTTATATTTATATCTTTACTTTGATAAAGAAAACGTATTTAATGTTGCATCTTTTATCACAAAGAGTTAATTTATTAACAAACACATTATGATAGAAAGGATGCATCAAATTCAAATGAAACATATCATAATCATCATAAAAGATATTTGAATTCATTTAAACTGAAGTTTGTAAGATGCTATATCAATTACAAACACTGAAACCAAATTTTACATCAATTTTGCCTGGTTGTAAACTATCCCTGTCCAAATGCAATTGGCATAAGCTCCCTGTTGGTATAGCATTGTCATTGAGCAATGACAACCAGTCCCATGCAATTTTCAATTGGTTTACTTTCTTACCAATGAGCTTCTGATCAATGAAATTAATGAAATTAATGAATTCTTACCAAAACAATAATCAAAGTTAGCGACAAAATTTGTGACTTCTACAAATGGCATAAACTCGAAAACAAGAAAAGGTATGTCAATGTCAAGATCAATGACAGATTCAACTAATGTCTTTGATTCGAATACAATTTTGTATTCATGTTGAGCACATCAGAAATCCACCACTTATGTTCAAAGCATGATCGGAACGTGACAAATTCCTTACACAACCTTCTCTGAAGAAATCCACAAAATCTTTTACATATCAACTAGGTATGGTAGCTTGGATTTTGTTACCCTATATACCAATAAAGTTACAGTCAAATTATACTATGGAAATGATCATACTGCAATTTAATCTATGGATATTACATGAATTGAGTGTTTAAATTACCTGAGCATCAACCAAAGTCATTTCCATTGACTTAATTTTGTTGCTCTTTGAAGTTTCAGGAACCTTCCATAGTGTCATAACACGCACAACAATAAAGAAATAGATACTTTTAGTATCAATCATCCCATTGATGTCAGTAATGTACCTCTGTGCCGCAACATTTGGGACAGATGGGGCACGATCAACAATTGCCTTAAGACTCACAGTTGCTTCAGATTCCACAGACTCGTTCCCAAAATCAACGTGACTGTTCATTGGCACACCACTGTTAACTATTGGCACTTGGTGGTTTACAGTTTTGGTTGCAATGGAGATAGAAGAAGGATCAGATACAGATTTAATGTTTCCATCATCAACCTTTTTAGTTTGTGATTCAGGACTACTGAAATCTTCTACAACAGAAGAAGAAGGAACTACATCTTTGGGAAATACCAATTCAAGAGCCATGGTAACAAATGAGAAAAGACCATTTAAAGGTATGGTTTATGGGTATTGAATAACTTTTTTGGGCTGTCACAACTAGTTTGAAGGTATGGTTTATGGGTATTGAATAAAAATTTTGGGCTGTCAGAACTGGTTTCACTGCTTATCTATTTATAGAGATAGAATATTGCACTGTACAACCATTACAGAGAGTAAATGAGGATTTTATGGACCCTCATTTGTTGATTTAATATGTTGTTGAAGTTGTTATAGAAGATATACACGTTTTTCATATATATTGGGAAGGATTTTGAAGATGAATTTGAATTCATATTGGAATTTTACAGTTTTTTATTATGTTTGTTGGGATAATTTATAGGTAAATGCGGGCTGATTTTATGGAAGAGTGATTTCCTCACTCTTTATCACAAAAAATGACAGGATATCGTGGAGCATTTTGTGGAGGCATAATATGGAAGATTTTATCACTATGCATCAGTCAACTCCCCTATATTGAAGGGATTACGTCAACTTGGCTAAAATTTTAAATTCAAATTTTTCAATTTAATTTACCAAATGGACTGTAATTTTGTACAAAACCATTACTGCAGAGTTAAAATTTCCTGATCATATAGGAAGGCACGTGGCTTTCGTATATTGTACCTGTGTTGTACTGTATGATGGCTGAGGATGGTTGTGGTGCTTTGGAGGAAGAAGAAGAAGAAGAACGAACCACATCTTTGGGAGATACCAATTCAAGAGCCATGGGAACAAATGAGAAAAGAGCATTTGAAGGTATGGTTCATGGGTATTGAATAACTTTGTTGAAGTTGTTATAGAAGATATACACGTTTTGGATAATTATATGGGAAGGATTTTGAAGATGAATTTGAATTCATATTGGAATTTTACAGTTTTTTATTATGTTTGTTGGGATAATTTTAAGGTAAATGCGACCTGATTTTATAGAAGAGTAATTTCCTCACTCTTTATCACATAAATGACTGGATATCGTGGAGCATTTTGTGGATGCATAATATGGAAGATTGTATCATCATGTATCAGTCAACTCCCCTGTATTAAAGGGATTACGTCAACTCCACTGTAATGAAGGGATTACGTGTTTTATTTGTTTTACTTTAAATGGCTAAAATTTTAAATTCAAATTTTTCAATTTAATTTACCTAATGGACTGTAATTTTGTACAAAACCATTACTGCAGAGTTAAAATTTCCTGATCATATAGGAAGCCACGTGGCTTTCGTATATTGTATCTGTTTTGTACTGTATGATGGCTGAGGATGCCTGTGGTGCTTTGGAGGGAAATTTTTTAATATGTTGCTGACACGTGTCCCAAATGTTTGTTGCCTTAAGTAAGTACTATGGATTTGAAGTGGCAAGTATTTGTCAACCAAAAATTAGAAAATAAAATGTAATATTTTGATACAATTTCTTGCTAGTTTCTTACTTTACTCTTAAAAGAAAACCAAAAGTGTTCAGTAATTTTTTTGGGGTGACTAAATTCATTATAAAAAACATTTTAGTCAATTAGTAAAGGGGGTAAACATTGGAGACCAGAAGTAGAGTTTTTTAATTAATGAAAATAGTCTAATAAAATATTAACTAGAAATTTAATGATACCAATTTCTGTAATTGTTGGGAAAAAAATTACAAAAGCATTAAAAAAAAATACAAATATATAAAAGTTTTATCTCTCCTCCTTGCGACTCTCTCGGTGCATGTTAGCACCTTGCTAACTTGCGTATTGCCAAGGGGAAAACCGTGAGGAAAGTGCAGAAGAAAACTGTTGGTGGCAAGAATAAAGAGAAGGTGGCTACGATAGAAGGGGAAAACATGAATCAGATGGTGAATTGTCCATTAATAGAAGGATTTGAAGGTTATGGCGAGAGAGCAAACCCCTAATTTGGAGTAGAAGAGTCCGAATAAGGATGGTGCTACTGAATGGAGAGTCTCATGGGCCGATGCATCGGAAAAATTACCGGAAGATAATCTGTGGAAGAAGTAATGTCCGCGCGATGAGGGGTAACATGAATCTAGAGCTCATACCTGTAGGAAGTGAGTGGGCGAAAGATCTGCCAAATTCAAGCCAGTAAAGTAAGAATTGAGGCCAAGTATTGGGAACCGTCGATTTTTTATTTCGTGTTGGGAGCGAATCCGCCATATGCAGTCATAAGCAAGCATATCAGAAATTTTTGGGACACTTAGGTGTTGATAAGGGCATCTCCAATCCAAAGCTCCTCTAAACTCTATATTTAGAGTTGAAACGGTACTACTTTTACAGTTTAAACAGTGTCAGCATCTCTAACCCATTCCCTCTATAAAATCCCTCTAAAAGGAATATTCTAAGTATATTTTATTATTATTTTTTTTTTGTAAAACTAAATTTTATTATTTGTATTTTATTCTATTCTATTACTAAAATAAATTACATTTAAGAAATTTTATAATTTACGCATATGATCGTTAATTTAAATAATAATTAGTAATATTAATTATTAAATTTAAATTACATAATTTTTATATAATTAATTAATAGTAATTTTTTCACCATATATTATGCCAAATAAATAAAATTACAAATAGTAAAATAACAAAAACATTTGGCTCAATGATAATAATAAAACACCATTACTAATATTACATTTAAATCATTAAAAATACATAACAAATACAAGTCAAAAATATTGCAAACATTAATTTAACAACAACACACACATGAAAATACAAATGCATATTTTGTGAAGAAAAAAAAACATAACAACACTAATTATTACTATGAGAATATTGTTCCCACATATGCTCAACCAAAGTATCACGAAGTTCAAAATGTGCCTTCCTGTTTCTGATTTTTCTGTGCCGTGCCAGAAACTGTTCAAAGCGGTCTCCCTTACGAGGCATTAGCGTAACATTTGAAGTAGGAAATTCCACATTATCTCTAATTGGTGCACTGAGATCACGTTCATCTTCAATAATCATGTTGTGCAGAATAATGCATGTTGTCATTATATCATGAAGCATTTCTTTTTGCCATAAACGAACGGGACCTGCGATAATAGTGAATCTCCTTTGCAAAACTCCGGATGCACGTTCAACATCTTTTCTTTATGCCTCTTGTCTTGTTTTAAAATATTGTTGCATGGGATTAGTTGGTGCTGCAAATGACTGTACTATAGTAGCCCATTTGGGGTATATACCATCAGCTAAATAATAACCCATATCATACTGTTTGCCTCGAATAGTATAATTAGCCGGAGGAACAATACCTTCTGCAAGATTAGACATTAGATGAGATGCTTCTAACACATTAATGTCATTGTTAGTACCTGGCATACCGAAATTCGCATGCCATATCCAAAGATCATAATCCGCTATAGCTTCCAAAATGATAGTTGGATGTCCAGAATGTCCACTATATTGGCCAGCCCATCCGCTAGGATATTTATCCCATTGCCAGTGCATACAGTCCAAGCTACCCAACATACCGGGAAAACCACGTTGTTCACCAATATGAAGCAGCCTAGCGACATCGGCAGCATTTGGTGCCCTCAGATACTGAGAGCCAAACATTTCTACGATTGCCCGACAAATTTTTTTAAGCATTCATTTGTTGTTGACTCGACAATTTGAAGATATTCATCAGTCTGATCCGCCGGGACACCATACGCCAATTGGCGCAATGCTGACGTTATCTTTTGATTTGTTGAGAGTCTAGGTCTACCAAGAGCATCATTGAGCTTTTTGAAATACCTATCATGACTTTTTACTGCATTAGCAATACGCTCATAAAGAGTGAGAGACAAACGAAACCTTCAACAAAAAGTGTCCGCATCGTAGGTGGGATTGTTACTGAAGTAATGCTGGTACAAAGTCTGATCTGCACCTTCTCGATCACGATGGATGACTCTATGGCCTGGGACCGAACCCCCCCAGGTAGGTTGGCTACTTTCAGCAGAGATAGCGTGTGACATCATAACATTAGAACTGTTTATGAAATGAGTAATTGGTAGATGGAAATCATTTTCAAATGGAGGAAATTCTGAATCTGAATTCTCCTCATCTGAATCATGATCGAATGGTGGAACATAACTCATTTCAATGATTATTGGAAAAACTACGGGAATAGAAAATATGAATAGAAGATGCTTACATTGTATGACATGTTGGTTGTTGTTTATATAGACAAATGGAGGAATTGATTCCAAAGTATTGACTTAACGTCATGACTAATAATTCTAATTTATTGATTTCTTTTCAAATAAAAAAGAATCCTATGCTTCTTTTTTTTGGCTTCATGGTCCAAATTTAGTACAAAGCACATTTTATTGTCGGTCCCAAAAGTCATCACATGTATTATCAGTAGAATAAGGAATCAATGAATAATTTGAATAGACGGTGACTATTGGTGCCAATAAAAGAAAGAATCTGGTTCATTTATTTTGAATTGACGGTGGAGAATTGTCGGTATATAGAATCTTATGCCTTTTTATTAAATGGTCCAAGTTGATGATTAATGTGTTGTCAAATACTGAATCCACTACTTTTTTAACTTCATGGTCCCCGTTGATAACAAATGCATTTAGAGTTTTCAGTCAAAAAAAGAATCCTACGCATTTTTGTTTGGCTTGGCATGACTAATAATAGTAGTAATAGATTGAGTATTTTTCAGTGAAAAAAGAATCCAATGTTTTCTTCTGAATTGATGGTGACTATTCAATCTATCACATTTTATTGTCGGTATAATAAGGAACAATGTTTTCTTTTAATTGACTGTAGCTATTGGTCCTATGCTTCTTTTTTATTAAATAGTCCAAGTTGATAAATAATGATCCATGTTCACCAATATGAATAATGAATAATGATGGTCCAAGTTGATAAATGTTGAATAATGAATATTGATGGTCCAAGTTGACTAATAATGATGGTCCAAGTTGATGAATATTGAATAATGAATAATGATGGTCCAAGTTGGCTTGATAGTTGGTTCCAATAAATGAAATAATCTG